ATCAAGCACTAAAGAGATCTGCACTCGTACAAATCTGACATCACTGGCGAAGTGTCTAAAATGTCAGTCACAGGTAACAGAAACTTCAAGAGCATGTTCTTTATGCCTAACAAACTCAATAGGACCCATGGGGAATTCGACTATGAGTTATAATCAAAGGATTATAAGAAAAGTGGTTTGATGTCATTTTGAGGTTTTGGGGATAATGATTTTATGAACCAGTCATTACTTCTCTCATAGAAAAATAAATTGCATTTTCACTCGAGTGTACATATTTATGGATCATTCCAAAACATCACATATCTCCAGCATCTGTTATGAAATGTCATTCTATGGTTTAGCTCATATCCTGACCACTTCTTTACTGGGAAACAAACAAATCATTAACTTTAAAGAGAAGAAATGAGAACTGATGTGGATGAAAAAATCTAGAGATGAAGTCATCTAATCCTAAGGTCTCTTATTAAAGATGTAACAATATTATACTGGGGAAAAGTTTTGAATGTAATCCTTAAACATTAATACGAGCTGTAAGAGAAGCAAAATTGCTTCCTTCATAGAGCTAGAAGATTAAAACTTCTGAAAGAGGTGAAAGCTACTTGAAAGAACTGTTTTGAAAATGAAATGAAATGAAATGAAATGAAATGAAATGAAATGAAATAAAGTTAACAGGATAGAGACTGCTACTCTACCTAGGGGCTTAGGGATGGCGTCTCCAAGCATGAGAGAATAGAGTTGAACCTGAATGACTGGAAATTCTCAGCCACATGGAGATGTAAGGGAAGAATGGTCCAAGTAAAGAGAAAAGTTTGTGTGAAGGCCCAGAAGGAAAAACAAGCTTGGCATTGGAGCAAGAACAACAGCAAGGAAGAAGAGTTGTATGAGACAAAATTGGAGGGGTGTGTGAAGCTTCTTGTTCACTGCTAGAACCTAGAGCCATGCTTGGTTCATGAGTGGTATTTAATAACTTTGTGGAGTGAGTGAATGAAGTTGGAAGGATTTGTGTTAGTCTTAAAGTTCCATCAGAGCAGGGACCAGAATATGTAGGGCTTTGCAGGGCAGAATTGGGGGAGTAAAATTTGATTCTAATCACTAGGGGAAGCCATTGGAGGTTTTTAAGCAGGGGAATTATGATATATGATTTATGCTTTGAAAACACCACTCTTGCTACTGTAGGAAATAAGATGATATGCTCAATATCTTTCTTGATCCCCTCTCTATCTTCTCCACCTGTGTCCAGGCGGCTCACCTAGATGGACTATCCCTTCTGGCTTCTAGCTATGTTCAGCCAGTAGGGTTTTCAGAAGACCATCAGAAAGAGACAGGAGCTCTCTTCAAATTGAGTATTCTGTCTATATCATGAGAGGAGTTAAGTGAAAAAACTAGAAACAGAAAGACCCTTTACAGAGCTTATTCGTAGGCTAGGCAAGAGTTGATGGTATCCCAATTTATTATTTATAGTGTAGAAAAATCTTCATTATTTTAGAGGCAAATATGAAAGTATTTCTCATGGATTGGGTGTCAGGGTAGAGGTGGTGAGAAAAAAGAAAAATCAATAACTTTTCCTAAGTTTTCATCTTGAATATGGCACTTTAAATGAGCAGGAAAGACTGAGAAGGGAACAGATTTGAGGTGATGTTGGAGGGGAAGAATCATAATTTCCATTTTAGACATGTTGAGGTCAAGATGCCTATTTCCATGTAAGTGGACATGTTTAGTCAGGATAGGGGAGAGATCAGAGCTTGAGATTTAAATTTTTTGACTCATCAGTATAAGTTTCTCTTTCAGATAACTATGATTTGAGCAAAATTACTTTAAGCTCATGAAAGAAATTTAATAATTCATGGAATGAAAAGAATTGTGTAGAACACAACCCCTAAGTTTAACAAATCCTTAGGAATCAGTAATCCACATGGTTTGTTGTCTAGTTACACAGGAGTTCTGAAGATGGGCTGAACAAGATTGTAATGAATCTGATAATAGAATAACTGGTTGGTTAGAAGTGAGAATTTGACAGAAATGAGAAAAGGCTGAACTTCAGAAATCATGAAAGAGACTATAAAGCCAAATTTAAAGCCTTAGTTATCCTTAATAACAAGAAGGGCTATTCTAAGTAAATGGAGTTCTTAGCTGCTAATTTAAATTTCCCCCAACCCACAACTTCAATTCAATCTCACAAATATTTATTGAGGGTTTATATTCACAGAAGGCACTGGGCAGAACAGTGTGGGTACAAATGCATTCAAGATAAGGTCCTTTAAGAGTTTATCAAATTACTGCTAAACAAAAACTAAAATAAAAGTTTGCTTCTCTGATAAATAAAAAGTCCAGGGAATCATCAAAATGAACTAGAGAAGCCAAAGGCCTGGGCCATTCCCAGCTTGAAGCATTGGCTTTAAAGCCATAGATTCTTCCTTAATTAAGGCTAAATGGCATGCTAGGCAAGTCTTTGGAAGAAACTGTTTGCGTCTGTGATGAGTAACTATTAGCTGTAGACCCCCACATGTAGTCTACCCACCCACCTGGCCTTTAGCACAGCCTAGAAGCTACATTCAAATGTAGACTTTCAGCTCAGAAATCAAAGTATCTAGGGAGAACACATATCCTGGGCCACAACAGTGCAGATAAGGCATTACAGAATGTTGACCCCCAACCTAGATCATGGGCTGACTCCTACAGTTCAGGGACAATCACAGACTGGAGGCTTAGGATTGAATTTCAAAGCCCTGCCCCTCCAGTGAGGGTTTGGGCAAGACCTGGCTTACAAGACTGAGGACCCTCAGCGTGAAGCAACAGTCAGAGTATCCTCCATTGCAAGCAAAGAGCAGTTCCTACAACCATAGAAAACAGAAACCAAGCGTGGGCTTATTCTTGAGCTGTGTCCACCGCCTAGCCCAGAGGACATGCTCAACATGGGACCTTAATTGAGGAACTTCACCTGTCTAGCCTCAGCTTCTTTATCTGTGAAGAAGGGACAAGACCTACCTCATAGGGTGGTTCCACATCATGGTCTTCCTTTATTCAGTGAGTAAGTAGTTGAATCCAGCCATAAGAAAATACATTTTTTTCCTATGGGACTCAATAAGGTTATTTTCATTTCAAAAAATTTTTATAGATCCCCTCTCTATCTTCTTCATTTCAAAATGTAAATGGGATGCAGCGATTGAACACAAAAGAGAGAGAGAAAATAACTCATAGACACAGGCAATAGCGCAGTGCTTGTTAGGGAGAAGGGGAGTGGGGGAGGTGTGAGAGAGTATGGGGCAATGGATGGTGATGGACAGAGATTTGAGTTGGGATGGTGAGCACACAATACAGTGTACAGATGATGTGTTACAGAATTGTGCACCTAAAACCTGCATAACTTTGTTAACCAGTGTCACCCCAAGAAATTCAATAAAAAGGAAACATAAATTTAAAAAATGCCAATGAAGGTTGTTCTCCATTGCCTTGAATGGTTTGAAAGGCTCTAAACTTAAAAGACCTAACAAGACTAAGTTCATAGTTTACCTAACTTTGTTATTCAGTAGCTCTGTGACCTCAAGCCATTCACAACTGCAAAGAGAGGGTACTTTTATTCCAGTGGGGTCCAAATGGCCAGTGGTCCTCACAGAGGCCTCTCTGAGTCCCAGGATGCCTCCTCTATGTTTATCTTATTCCCATTGGACACTGTAGAGGGGCATTCTTTGAAAGATGGTTCTCAATCCTGCTTTCAGAATTACCTGAGAGAGTTGTGTTGTTTTTTTTTAATTTAAAAAACTGATGTATGTGACCCATCTCCCAGAGCTCCTGATTTAATGATTAAATGTAAGACCTCAGCACTTTATTTTTAAAAAGCGGAGGTGATTTAAAAATGTATCCAAGTTTGGGACCATTGAGCAAGGGGTGACAGCTGGGCCACAACAGCCTTCTGACTGTACTCTGGGGACATTGTATTACCATCCTAACCTCAGGTGGAGTTACAAGTATCCCTTGCAGTTCTGAGTACAATGCATTAACATTCACCATTGCTTCATAAGTTAAGGATATATCCCCCAACTAATCTATTTGTCTAAATCATCCCTATTCTAAGAGGCCACTATTGCAGCAGGAGCAGAACTTAGTCACCTGGCCATTTCTACCTTCAAGGGAGGTGGGCAAATCTGGTTTATAGGCTAAAAATAGGCATGGACTATAGTCATGTGCCCCGCTGAAAGCTGAAGGCCTCTTTGCCACTGTAATGGAGGGGGCAAATACTTGGGATGACAGCCAACACTCTGTGCTGCTGGAGGCCTCTCTCCATCCTCATGCAAATGGATTATAACTATTAAGTTACAAGTAGACAGTGTGTTCGGGATCCTGCTGAAAACCACTGAAATATGGCTATTTTTCCTCGTATCCCAAATTTCAATGGCTTTTGTTCCCACAGCCCTAAGAAATCACAAATCTTGCAAGAAAAGTGTTCCAGAGGAGTTCTTTAGAAAACCAGGCCTCATACTTAATGCCCCTACAATGTCGTAGCATTGGGCATTTACACTTAGAAAGGGCTGCCCCCTCTACAGATTAATTCCTCCAGATTTACACTGATGGCAGGAGCTCTCTCTTATTCATTCAGGAAGCAACACAGATTATTTTCATGGGATCGTAAATATGTTTAGCACTCCATTATACTAACCTTTTAAACCAGTTGTCTTGGGTGGCTGCAAATCATCATTTAGAAGCAACTTTCTAAGATTTAAATGCTCTTGAAATCCTGGACACTCTAGTTAAATACTTGAGATTAAGAGTGGGGGGTGTAGTAGGTCTAACTACAAAATTTATTTCAAGAAGAGGAAGCAAAATCCTTTGCACTGGTTCCTGGGTTGTTTTTTTTTTTTTCTTTTTCTGGAGTTTGTTTTTGGTTTGTTTGGGGTTTTTTTTTTTTCCTTCTTTTACACTTTATTCAGCCAAAGCGAACATAAAAATTGGCACTTAAACACACCACTCTCTTATGTTGGATTGACTTTCCTTCCTTCCCCCAGTGTTCCAGGACCTGCGGAGGGGGTGTTCAGAAGCGTGAGGTTCTTTGCAAGCAGCGCATGGCTGATGGCAGCTTCCTGGAGCTTCCTGAGACCTTCTGTTCAGCCCCAAAACTGGCCTCCCAGCAAGCCTGCAAGAAAGATGACTGTCCCAGTGAATGGTTTCTCTCTGAATGGACAGAGGTATGCATGGTCCTCAGAAGGTATTAATGAAAGAGGCATAAGTAAAGAGGGAAAGATGGCACCCTGTAGGGATACATACAGACGGTGAGAACAAAATGAAATAAGTCTCCTAACATGATGAAGCAGTATTTTTGTAACCATTTATACCATACCACATGACTAACTTTTAACTAGACTGCAGGGACAGAAGTTAAGCAGCCAGCCCTTATTCAGCAATCTGAAGCATGCAATTATAAACAGGTTCCTCATGGAGCAAAACCAGCCTCACTCAGGCTATCTGGGCCCAAGATTCTTCTCGGAACACAGGGTTCTTCTCCCTCTATCCCACGTGTGCCTTCTTGACCTCCCAGAGACTCCTACTCCCAGATGTTTCTAGTCTCTACTCAGTAAGGGCCAAGACTCTCAAGTTCTTCTCTTCCAAGTTACTGGACAAAAAGGAATATGGCTTATCAGGAAAAGAAGGCCAAGGAAATCTTGCCTCTTTATTGTCAGCTTCCTGGCTTCAAATCCTCACCAACTTCCTAACAAGAGAACTTAATTTCCCCTCTTTCCTTGCAATTAGGAAGATGATTGCATCAGCGTTCACCATTGCCTCATAACTAGGCACATATCCCCCTACTAATCTATTTGTCTCAATAAGTCCTGTTCCAACACTAGCACCAATTCATTCATTTACACCAGGCTTCTATTGGTTAGTTTTCAGCCCCTACACTTTTTTGAATTGCCTACAACAGGCCTGCATGTCTTCCACAGACAAGCCCCTTGCCCCAAATTATTGCCTTACAAGCCAATTTAGCCAAGAACAAAATCACTAGGCCTGAAGTGATGTGTCAAACCAGATTCAAGACCCTGCTTTGCATATGGCAGCATTTGAACTGGCTTTGCTGATTCTACTGCCTTCTTTGTTTGATGTAGAGCTCACGAAGTGGAGCTGCTGCTGGTTGAAATACATCACAGGAAACTTGCTTCCACAGAGGGGGAAGCTGCCTCTGAAAATTAAGATGCCGGCTCTATCAACATAAATTCTCAGAATTCTTGTGCCATATTTTATCAACCCATACAGAGTTCTACCAGATGGGGCCTGCTAAAGGCATTGCAATTGAGAGTTAACTTACATTGTCATGGATTTTATAATTTAGCAGTAAAATTGCCTTCTGGTGGTATCTCACCCCAAATGTCTCAGAACAATAAAATTTCATGTTTCAGAAACAGGATAAAAGAAAAATTGTGTAGAGTGAGCATGTGTATATCCAAATGTGTCTGTGTGTGTAAGCATGTTTGTGTGTACACATGAACATGGTAGTGACAATTTTTCCATGGAATGTTGATTTGAGGTATGGCATTATATATGAAAAAAATCATAATAAATATAATGGCGTGGGAGAGAGCCCTCATGTATTTGCCAAGTAAGTGGCTCTAGATGAAGACCTCCTCCCTGGGCATATTGCAAAACGCATTGTTCCCACATCCATCGGTGACAGTCTGCCACGAGTGAGATGCTGCTTGGGTAATTATAATTGTCTTCCCATGTTCCTGGACTTTGTCATCTCTGAGCATATGAGACAATTGAGAAAAAGTTATTTTCGGCCTACGGATTTGAAGGATGGACACTTGTGGTTAGGTACTCGGGAAAGGACACTGCTGAACTGAGGGCATATGGGACCCATAAAGTAAAGCAGACCCTAGTACAGTGTCATGTCTGTGAAGAGTTGAGACTGACAGACAGGCAAACTTAGGTTCTCATGCTGACTCTGCTCTTGTACTTACTGGTTGCACTATTTTACATTCCTACCAGCAATGTATGAAGTCTCTAATATAACCTTGGGCTGGTTACTTGACCTTTTGGAGATAATAAACCTGTCTATCTTTATGGTTATCAGGAGGCTTAAATTAAATGATGCATACAAAGTGCTTTGTGCCTAGTAAAAGTTAACCCTAATTATTGCTATGATTCTCTTCCATCCCTGCTCATTGTCAGGAAGAGAAGTAATAAAAGGAAGACTTAACTGGCTAGAACCTGGGCCACGGTGAAGTCCTCCCCAGCCTTTGCCAGTCTTTTTAGGAGAAGGAAGTTACATTTTGGGAACTAGGATTAGTCAGTCCTTACCCAAGGAATGTTATTATGTTCTGAGTTATCTGGGTTGATGAGTGGAAATTCCAAACATTGGGGAGGAGTTGAGAATGACAGGAAGTAGTAATCACCGATTCAGTGGGATGAAACTCACACAGGTATCGTATAAAAGTGTCCCTGCAGGTGTTCACAGAGGCCCCAGTTGGCCCTGTCATCTCAACGGCCCTTCTCTGGGCCCCACGGCTGAGATAAGACATGCATTCCACATGCCCCACAAGACCCCTTGGAGGAAGGAAGACCTGGATGATCTATGAGGGTTTTTATCCTCCACTATCTGGCTCAATCTCACGGTTACTGCACAGAATCCCTCAGAGACAGGGTTAAGCCAAAGATTTAGACACTTCAAATAAAATTACCTTTGGATTCTATTCTGAGAATAAGACCCTCAAAAGACCTTACTCTTTTTTTATTGAAAAGAAACCCTTCCATCTCCTGAACGAGTTGGCTAGTTAATATTTTTAAGTCATATATTTAGAAAAGTTGCCCCCCCTCAAAAATAAAAGAAATTAAAGTCCTAGCAGTAAATTTTAAAGCAAGAGGCACTTAGAAGGTCCTATAGCCTAGTTGTTCTTTTAAAAATTAGTCGCAGAACTCTTTTTGAAGTTGGCCTGTTACTATGAAGCCAAAATTCTAAAGCATATCAAATCAGAGCTGTTTCGGTTGAACTGTGGGGAGGGGGTCCCAGATATCCAATGGTTGGGTCTCTAGCTCACCCGAGAAGCCACTCATTCACTTTCTCAACATAGTAATGGAACACAGTTTGAAGATCCCTGCTCTCGCTTTGTTTCCCTATTTCAGAAATGTGGAAATTGAGCCTAGGGAAAGATCCAGACTTGAACAAAATCATAAATGAGTCTTTTGACATGCGGTCTATTTTTCTATTTTTCTACTTAGCAGCACTAAAATGACCATGCTTTCAAAATTTCCAGGCCCTTTACCTATCTCCCACCTGATCCCTGGATTTAGTGCTGTCATCTACCGTAAAATGAGGGATGAGTGGAATCTGGAATCTATGACCATCAGGGAACAAAACCAGTGGGTTTGACTCTCATCCCTATCTTTTGCATTTTAAATATCTTTCACGGTAGTGTATATCATAGAACTTTGCATGGAATCATTTATTTCAATGGGCTAGCATATAATACTTGAAAAGATAAGGTTTTTTTTGGTCTTTACTGTCATTTTTCAAGCTAGCATGGCACACTGCCATGACCCTGGTTCAGGCCTTTATCATCGCCAGCCTGGACTACTGTGGCGGCCTCCGCCACTGACAGCCCTACCGGTCATCCATCTCCTACTCCCGTCCCTCCCAGACACTGTTGCCAGATTAACCTTCTCAAAACACCTCTTTCATCATTTCACTCCTCCCTTCAATGGCTCCTCATTGCTTTATGGACCAATTCCAAACCTCCTGTCTGAAAATTAGAAATCTCCAATGTCTGGCCCCAAACTACCTCTTGAACTCCTGATACTCTCAATGTGATCCTTCTGCTCAAAGAGGTTTAGCTCTGCCCCCTAACCCTGCCTTGGACTTTTGCACTGAACTGTTCTACCTTTGTGCTGGATGTTTCCCTGACTCCCATGCTTATTCCTGGTTCTCTACACCCGTCCAGACTCCACCCATTTTCAAGACGTAGGTAGGAAATCCCTAGTCATTCAAGAGTTGTTAGTATTACTTTTATAATACTTCACTTGTCTCTTGGTTTTGTATGTTTATGAAAATTTTTATTATTATTTAACTCTTTAAACAGTTTCACTGAGGTATAATTTGAATGCTATTAAATTTCATTTAGAATAATGTTTCCAAGTTTTATTCATGTTGTAGAACATAGAACTAGATTCCTTTTTATAACAGAATGATACTGCATTGTATAGATATACCACATTTTGATTATCCACTTACCCAGTAATGGACATTTGAGTTGTTTCCCTTTTTATCTGTTCTGAGTACGCTGCTATGAATATTCACGTACGCATCTTTGTGTGGATGTATGTTCTCATTTCTCTTGGGTAGCTACCTAGGAGTGAAATTTATGGGTCTCATGGTAAATTTATATTTAACTTTTTAAGAAACTATTAAACTGTTTTTTGAGAGGGCTTTACTGTTTACATTCCTACCAGCAATGTATGAAGGCTCTAATTTTTCCACATCCTCATCAACATTTATTATTATTTGTCTTTTTTATTATGGCCATTCTGAGGAATAAAAAGTGGTATCTTGTGGTTTTGACTTCTATTTCCCTAATACACTCTTTCATTTCAATAATGCATTTGGAATTTTCCCCTTCATTTGATGACAGCTCCTTAACATTATGAACCATCTTGCACATCCTTTTTCTGTAGTGTCTAGCACCCCACCATAGATGATATAGATATATGACAATTATCTGCTGCTTGACATTAAAATATTTTATTTGTGAAGAGAGGCAAAAGGAATTAACATTGAGTGTCATTTCTGTGTGTGACATTTAAAATATATTACCTCACTCAATTCCCAACCTTGCAGAGTAAGCGCAAGAACTGGAAACGGCCTCAGAGAGTTTAAGTAGCTTGCCAAGTAGTGAAATACTGAACTAGATGTGAATGCAGGACCCTCTAGCTCTGGAACTCTAAAGTCTAGGCCATATATATAAGTGAAAGCAGGTAAAATATCTACGGGAGACTTTCAGGTAGAATATGGCTACAATACAGACATGTCTTTCCAGATTGTCAACTAATGAATATTTCTCTCTCTAAGTGGCTATTTATTTTTCAAACAGCTTTTCTCATATTTTGGTGAGTCTGAGAACTCACCCAAAGGCCCACTAGCCTAAAGTGTCCTGCATTACATGCTTGTGGCCTTTCCTTCCCATCAGTGTTCCACGACCTGCGGCGAGGGCACCCAGACGCGAAGTGCCATTTGCAGGAAGGTGCTGAAAACCGGGGTCTCGGCTGCTGTCAATTCCTCCCTGTGTCCCCCCCTGCCATTCTCTTCGTCAATCAGGCCATGTATGCTGGCAACCTGTGCAAGTGAGTACCTCAGAGCTTTGGGGACGGGAAGGTGAAACCCCATGGAAGCAGGCGTAGCCTCTCAGGAACCTTCCCTGAACCCAGGCCAGTGGGAGATTGTTGGACCCTGGAGGGCAGCAGGCTGGTGAGCTCAGCTGGAGATGGAAAAGGAACTTTAATTACTATACGTGACCAGGTGAAATTCTCTTCTCTCCTGGAGAAACAGTTTGCAAGAAGGAGAGAAAGTTCATTTGCTGGCATACGGAGATCTAGAAGCTGGAGGCAGAATATTACTAATGAAGGCTAATGCTATCCACTCTGGGGTTTTAAAATAGTCTGAACAGAGTTATTCTCTCTAATTTTAATCCCTAGAATTGTAACACTTCTGGGCTCTCCTCCCCAGTGTAACAAGGGCCCTGGTGCTCTGCAGGGTGCAAAGGATAAACCTTGAAAGGGGGGCATCCTCCTTCCCTTTGTCATTGGCTTCTTTTCTGTGATGCTGATTTTTTATGTCCTTTTAATGAAAGGAACTACCTTTCCCCGGGGACCTCCTTCCATCTACAATCCTGCATGTCAGCGTCTAGGGGCAGGAAGAGCCAGTAGGGTGAAAGCAGGTTGTTCTCCAATTTTGGATTGTGGGGGCAGCTTGATGGTCCAGAGCTGGTAGCCAGTTCCTCCAGGAAAACACAGGAGGTCAATGAAGGCCTCAGCCAAAAATCAACTCTGAAACACTCTCTTTCCCCTCCTCTCTTGCCCCTTCGTCTCTTCTCTTCCCCCTCCTTTTTTCCTGCTTTCTTGTCTCTGCATCTCACTCTCATTTTTCTGTTCTCTCCATTTGTCCGTCCATCTTCCCTTTCATTCCAGGGCCCGGGAGGCCATCCACAAAGCACAGCCCACACATTGAGGCCGCAAGGAAGGTATACATCCAGACCCGCAGGCAGAGGAAGCTGCACTTCGTAGTGGGTGGATTCGCATACCTGCTCCCCAAGACCGCAGTGGTGCTCCGGTGCCCCACACGGCGCTTCCGCAAGCCGCTCATCACCTGGGAAAAAGATGGCCAGCACCTGATCAGCTCTGCCCACGTCACCGTGGCCCCTTTTGGCTACTTAAAGATCCACCGCCTCAAGCCCTCTGATGCAGGCATCTACACCTGCTCGGCAGGACCAGCCCGGGAGCAGTTTGTGATTAAGCTCATTGGAGGCAACCAGAAGCTGGTGACCCGGCCCACGAGCCTCAGGAATGATGAAGAGGCCCTCCGGGTGAGGAAGGCCAACCCCAAGGAAGCCCTACAGACCCACAAACACCAGAACGGAATCTTCTCTAATGGCAGCAAGGCTGAGAAGCGGGGCCTCGCTGCTGATCCGGGGAGCCACTATGACGACCTTGTCTCTCGGCTGCTAGAGCAGGGGGGCTGGCCTGGAGAGCTCCTGGCCTCGTGGGAGGTCCAGGACTCTACGGAAAGGAACACATCCTCAGAGGAGGACCCGAATGCTGAGCAGGCCCTCCTGCACCTGCCCTTCACCATCGTGACTGAGCAGCAGCGCCTAGACGACATCCTCCGGAACCTCTCCCAGCAGCCAGAGGAGATTCGGGATGTCTACAGCAAGCATCTGGTGGCCCAGCTGGCCCAGGAGATTTTCCGCAGCCAGGTCGAGCACCAGGACACACTCCTCAAGACGCCTGAGCAGAGGATTCCCCCTGTGGCCATCCCACCTCGAAAACCTGTGTCCAGCTTCACCAGCATGCTCCGGTCCTCCTCCTCTGGGGAGGCAGGGGGCAGCTCCCGCCGGCCACACCGCAAGCCCACCATCTTGAGGAAGATCTCAGCTGCCCAGCAGCTCTCTGCCTCCGAAGTGGTCACTCATCTTGGGCAGACTGTGGCCCTGGCCAGTGGGACACTAAGTGTGCTTCTGCACTGTGAAGCCGTAGGCAACCCCCGACCTACCATCAGCTGGGCCAGGAATGGAGAAGAGGTTCAGTTCAGTGACAGGTGAGCCTTGCAATTACCTGGTCTCGGAAAGGAAGGGGACAAAGGGCCACATCTTTCCAAGGCACCTTATTCACTCTTCTTCCAAGGTGTTTCCAGGGGTAGGACTTAGAGCCATGGGCTCAGGGATTGTGTCCTGGGTTTCAAGCCCTCTGTCCACAATGATAGAGTGTTGAAGCAAAGACAGGGTTTTAATTTCTGTAAACTGTACAGTCTCACCTTTATAAGGTAATAGCAACAATGCCTACCCACCCTGATCCCCATAGGATCCCAAAGAAGATACTCATTCCATAGCTTTGAACTTTTAGCAGAAAGCGAGTTTTGGGACAAAGCATTATTGCATTACCATTTTGTGAGATGAACTATTGTATTGGCCAAAAAGTCCATGATGTTTTTTTCCATAAAATAAGACACTTTTCATCTTCACCAATAACTTTATTTGGATATTTTGAGTATGTCAGCTATCTCCCACTATTGGCTTATAGTGGGTAGAGGCCAGGGGTGCTGCTAAACACCTTCCAATGCATAAGACAGCCCCACAGCAAAGAATTATTTGTCCAAAATGTCAATAGTACCAAGAAATTTCACCAACCACTTTTCACATTTTCAATCAATCACAGCACTCTCTCCATACACTGTACAAATCTCTTTCGTGTTTCAGTTGTGTTTTTACCCGTCTTAAAATAACAAAGAATAATATGCCAAAATTGTTGCTTATCTTCTTCCATCTTCAATATTAAAATGACTACACAAAAATTCGCTAATTTTTTTAATGCATGCTGATATGACAGCTGTCACAATATGATCTAACAAAATTGTTTCCAATATAATTAAAGACAATTTAGCACTACCGGAGCCATCATATGGAAAAAACAGACTTTTTGGACAACCCAATATTATACATCCAGACATTGTGTCCATGTTTGTAGTCCCCAAGCCTGGGGAGAGTGCAGCCAGCACTCGCTGCTGCTTGTGGGTGAGCCTGTCCTCTGCCTGGGCTAGACAAGGCTGTTCCAGAAAGCTTTTATTCCCTGTCAGACCTGTCATTAATTATCTTAATATCCCCTGGCGTCTCTGTTTTGATGTGCCATTACTGGGATGACAACATGTATTACTTACTGGTTTCCTTGAGCTATAGCCTCTGGTGACGTAAAATCAAGAGCAGTATTAGAAGTAATAATAATATTATTTTTGAACACTATGTGCCAGGCATTGTGCCATGCTTTCTACATACATTTTCTCTTTTAATCTCTATCGTGGCCCTGACAGCAATAATTTTAGCTGACATTGAGTAGTGACTACCTGCAACGCAAGTATAAGCACTTTATGTGCTCTGTCTCACTGAATTTTAACAGTAAGCCCTGAGAAGTGGGTACAATTTTTATCCACACTTTACAAAAGAGGACACAAAGTCAAGTAACAGGCCAAAGATCATGTTTATTAGGTGACAGAACCAAGATATGTGACAAAAGTAAAATAGTTACTCAAAGAATCATAGACTATGGATGGGAGAGGAACTTTTAAGGTCCTTCAGTCCAGAGTCCTCATTTTAACTTATTATCTCTGAATCCATATGGAATGATCTTTTCATTAAATAGACTTCTAAACACTATTGTTTGGCTACCCCTCTTCTCTGGCTTGCTAGCTTTGGGTAAAGAAAGAAAGAATCCAGGATTTATGGTGCCAGGCAATATGCCAGGGTTTCTTTCTATGTACCTGCATTTGTTATTCTAACAGTCCACAAGATTGACATACATTATCCTCCAGTTTTGCATAGAAAATCAAGGTTCAGCAATTCATCCAAGATCATGTTTGTAAGAGCCAGACTTAGGATTTGATATCAAGTTTACATGATTCCAAAGAGCAGTGATTTGGTGAACAGAAGTGATGTCCATCCTGACCACATCTTTTGTGCCTTAAGTTTGTTCGTATTGCCTCTCAGCCTTAGTACTTACAGGTCAAATAGCCTTCATAACAATGCTAAGTGTTTTTCTGTGTGCTGTGTGCTCTTACTATATACCAGACTACTGTGCTCAGTGTTTCAAAGACATTTAATCCTCAAAAAAAATAAATAAAAATAAAAAGCCCTATGAAGTAAGTACTAGTACTGTTACCACAGCATTGATAAGGAAGCTGAGGTGTAGATGGTGGATCCACACAGAAGCATGGGAGACAAGGACTGAATGCAGGCAGCAGGGCTCGAGAGCCTGTGCACCTAACCTCACCAGCTTGCAGCTGGGTCCTCCCCAGCTCGTTCTTTCCTTGATCAGCTTAACTGTTATGATCCCTGCAATTTTTTACAGAAATATTTTAAGTATACTTTATTGATTATGCTATTACAGTTGTCCCATTTATTTCTCCCCTTTATTCCCCTCCTCCCTGCAACACCCTCCCACCAGCATCCCCCCCCCCTTAGTTCATGTCCATGGGTTGTACATATAAGTTCTTTGGTTTCTCCATTTCCTATACTATTCTTAACCTTCCCCTGTCTATTTTGTGCCTACCAATTATGCTTCTTATTCCCCGTATCTCTTCCCCCTTTTTCCCCTCTCCCATTCCCACTGATAACCCTCCATGTGATCTCCATTTCTGTGACTCTGTTTCTGTTCTAGTTGTTTGCTTAGTTTGTTTGGGTTGGGCTTTTTTTAGGTTCAGTCGCTGATATTTGTGAGTTTGTTGTCATTTTATAGTTCATAGTTTTTATCTTTTTCTTAGGTAAATCCCTTTAACATTTCATGTAACAAGAGCTTGGTGATGATGAACTCCTTAGTTTTACCTTCTCTGAGAGGCACTTTATCTGCCCTTCCATTCTCAATTATAGCTTTGCCTGATAGAGTAATCTTGGATGTAGGTCCTTGCCTTTCATGACCTTAAATACTTCTTTCCAGCCACTTCTTGCCCGTAATGTTCCTCTTGAGAAATCTGCTCATAGTCTTATGGGAACTCCTTTGTAGGTAACTGTCTCCTTTTCTCTTGCTCCTTTTAAGATTGTCTCCTTATCTTTAATCTTGGGTAATGTAATTATGATGTGCCTTGGTGTGTGCTTCCTTGGGTCCGACTTCTTTGGGACCCTCTGAGCTTCCTGGATCTCCTAGAAGTCTATTTCCTTCACCAGATTGGGGAAGTTCTCCATTATTTTTTCAAATGTTTTCAATTTCTTGCTTTAACCCTTTTCCTTCTGGCAGCCCTATGATTTGGATGTTGGGACATTTAAAGTTGTCCTTAAGGTTCCTAAGCCTCTCCTCATTTTTTTCAATTCTTGTGTCTTCATTCTGTTCTGATCAAATATTTATTTCTTCCTTCTCCAAATCATTGATTTGATTCCTGGTTTCCTACCCTTCACTCTTGGTTCCCTGTATATTTTTCTTTATTTCACTTTGCATAGCCTTCACTTCTTCCTCTATTTTGTGACCATACTCAACCATTTCTGTGAGCATACTGATTACTAGTGTTTTGAACTGTGTATCTTAGAGGTTGGTTATCTCTTCACTGCTTAGTTCTATTTTATCTGGAGTTTTGATCTGTTCTTTCGTTTGGGCCATATTTCTTTGTCTCGGGCTCCTGTTAGGTTGTGAGATATCTGAGCCTTAGGTATTTGCCAGGGCGGAGCAACACATTACTGCGTTGTGACGCTGTCTCTGGAGGAGCGGTTTGAGAGGGAATAATGCTGCTTGCTCAGCTCTCACCCAGCTTTCAGTCATTTCCCTCTCTACCTACAAGCAAATTGAGCCCTTCTGTTGCTGATTCCCAGGTGATTGGGTTTGTATATGTTCTGGGACCTTGTGGGTCTCTCCAGAAAGCTCTCCTGTGAGGCTGGGAGTTTTATCCAGCCGCTGAAACCCCCATAGGTTTTTAAAGCCAAAGGTTTCGAGGCTTTCTTTTCCCTCACTGGAACGCTGGGTTGTGTGGTCTGTCTTGCTCCCCTGTTGTTCCTCCCAGTTCATCCACATGCAAATGTGAAACCACTGGGTCCACTAGCTGCCACCTCACCTACCCCGTTCATTGCCTTTCTATGTGTCCTCTCTGCCCCAGCTGCCTATCTCCACCCCTCCTACCAGTCTGGATGAACGTTTCTTCTTTAATTCCTTGATTGTCAGACTTCCATATAGTTCAATTTTTCTGGCAGTTCTGGTTGTTTTTTGTTTTTAAATTTGTTGTTGTCCTCCTTTTGGTTGTGTGAGGTGGTAAAATGTATCTCCCTATGCCTCCATCTTGACTGGAAGTCCTCTATTTCCAGAAATCTTTATAAAAACTTGTGGGTCAAGCTAAAGTTGCAGTAAATTCCCTTGAGGCCAGTGGGACACCGAGAGGCAGCTCCAGTGTTAGGCCCCCAGGATAATGAGGGCTGGCTGAAAGTGGCGCCCTGGTGCTCAGGTGGGGGCGCACTGGAACTCATCTCTATCAGTGCCCCTGTTATGTCCAAATTATGTCATGTCCTCCACCAGCAAGCCAGTTTTTCAAGTGTAGATACCATTTTATTCATATCCCCTGGGCTTATTGTCCAGGTTTGCTACCATTAAGATTGAGGGGAATAGTAATTGGCTATGTGAGGGAAAAGATGGGGATTAACATTTTTTGACTCACCATTGATACATACACTGTGCCCCATTGGTTAGAAACTTTCACAGTCATCATCTTAGTTAATGTCTGTGTGACATATAAGTTCTTAACCCTACTTCAGAGATGAGGAAACCAAGGCCCCTTGGAGTTAAGAAACTTGACAATATTAGATAGTTAGCAAAAGGCAGAATTAAGAGGTGAGATTCAAATCCATTTCTGCCCAACTCAAGCCCATGCTGTTTGAGCAAATGAGTACGTTTAATACTTCTATGTATCTGTACTTCTCCAGAGATCCCAAGTTTCCTCAAGACCCTTGCTGATTTCTATCAGCTACTGCCAGGATCCTTTCCTTTGAAAAGCACCTACTTCTTCCTAAAAAGCTGTAGAACACAACATATCTTTAGGAAGGAGGGAGTCCTTCGGACTCCCCTCTCCTGTGCCTG